CCCCGGCTTTGTGTATCAGAGCCTAATGTTACAGTAGCAGAAAGAAGACAGTGAGCAGCTGTGCATGAATATGAATTCACTAATTCACATAACTAATTTGCATTTCACAGTCGAAGCCTTAGTTTTAAAGTTTGCAAACACGAATCACATTTACTGATTAATTTCAGACATATTAGGCATCTTGTCCCTGATTCATCCCCGGGATTGCAACTCTGATATAAATGTAACACAAAACTAATCACAGTAGCAGGACAGCACCACACAGGACAGAACAAATGTGCAGACACACAATGCAGAGAGAATGTGTATATATGTATAAGTTGTATAAGAGGCTAGGGTTCGGTGTGTTTACAACTATTAAAAAAATGGATGAAAAGCAAAGTGATATTTAGAGCAATTTAAGCTTAAAAATGTTGGAAATGCCTTACAATTTAACTTCAGTTAATTAAGTGGTTGAGGATTTGCCAAGGACAGCCATTTAATTGGGCTATTCATGTTATACGGCCAGCAGCATAAGTTTGTGGACGAGACAGCATGCTACCATCTATGTGCTACTTTTACCTAAATGTCAAAGCCCCTTTCTCTGGAAACCATCCGTCTTTATGACCTGTGCGGATACATTTTTACTGTATGGCCTACTTATGTTAACAATTAATATCCAACCGCGTACATACATGATTAGATAAAAAAAAAAATGTATGGGGGGAGATTCCTGCTAGAGGGAATTGCATTTATCAAAGTTATACTGGCAAATATTTTCTGCATTAAAACATAAAATTGTTTGGATTACAACACGTTCACACTGTATGAGGGACTCGCAGCTGGTGGGCAATGCATGCATAAATTACAGCATTCTGACATGTTCGTGTTCATGCAAAAATATGACATGTGCATTGTTCCAGTGTTTATTGTAGCGTACATCAAAACCATACAAATCGAAGAAGAAATTTCAAAGGATATACATCCAAACACAAATCTCAGAACCAATGCTGTAGCTTTGCTATTCACTTGCTTACTAATGGGTGGCGTGTTTAAGCGTATTATTAAATAATTAGCATTGCTAGTATGACAGAATGCAATTAAAGCTATTTAATAATTAAGAGATCATTTGTGACAGAAAAGGTTTAATAAAAAAAAACATGAATTAAATGAGGCCTGAATGATATAACATCACAGAGCAGATCAGACCAAAAAATGGATTGGATTTGTGACAGGAACTGTTGCACTGTCCTTCTGTTTCAGCTTGACCTGCTGCGATGTCAGTGGACTGGTTACGCACTACTAGTGCCAGACTCTTGATCTGTTGTGCCTCAGGCAGACAGAGCTGCAGAGTAAAACAAATACAAGAAGGCCTCACCAGAGGCAAGTGGGTTTCTTTTTCTCTCACCCACAATTAGTTGTGACAGATCTTTTTGTTTTAAA